TTTTTAAAAATCCGAATATAATAACATATTTTCATACTAATTTGAACCTACCTCGGCCAAACAATTTCTATTCCACTTAAGGATACTAACTTTATGTATTAAAAACTAAAAAATATTAAGTTCGAATTTTCATACTTAATATAAAGTAGAACTCTAAATTTAACTAACTCATTGTCTCTGTGTACGTGACTGAGAGATAAATGAATCATTACTAAGAGTGAGTTTGACATACTTTATAGTTTAATCACTTTTTTTTATAATAGCACCAATCACTTTGAAGTTGAATTAACTTCAAAGAAGCTAAACTATTTCATAGTAATTTTTTTAGAAGTGCTTATAAAAAAATATTTTTATTCAAAACAACTTTTTACAATACTTATCCCAAATACAGTATAAAAATAGCAAGCACCTTCGAGCTCCGTGAAGATCCAAACTACCACCAAATGCATCAAGAAATCTGCCCATATTTATATAACAAAGTGAAAAACGCATCCTTTTTTTTTTCTGTTAACAATATTTCCTTCATGATTAGGACAATCTATTGGAAGTACATAGCAACAAGATAAAAATGTTATCTTAGAGTATCAACATTGTAATATCCATCCATTTCAATTAACATTGATTTTCTCCACTAAGACAGTGCATTGCAAACGCAACATTCTGCACATCATTTTTTGCATATGATCTCAAATTTCATCCCAACTACAAAAGAACTATGAACCCTACTCCGGAATGCTGCAGTACCAGATATCCTTGAGAACCATCAATCAAAATATGCAGCAAAAGTCAGGAAGCAGATGTGCTGGAAATGACACACAGTACTATATCCTTACTTGGTCTAGATGCAGAAATTTTCTCTCTTTGTTCCAGCTGTTTTGGAGTCGGACACTTTTTCACGCTGAACTGCCCGAGGAACAAATGTTAAGCCTCGAGTGTGCCTGCGGCCAAAGCTGATTGATGAAGGAGTTGAGTCAGAAGTACTTAGTTTAGATACTCCCGAGATGAGGCTATCTATAGTTTCACTCTCGACATCCATTTTGGAAGTTTCTTGCCTTTCTTGAATTACTTGTTTACGATGTGATTTCTGTCTCTGTTTCTTAGAAGGGTGAGCTTTCTTAAAGAATTCAAATGAAGCGGAAAAGCTATGCCTGTCCACTAGATGCTGCTGTCTGCTTTTATAGCTCTTGAACTTCAAACCACAACCTTCCACCAGGCATTCATACTGTCACACACGATATAAATTTATATCAAACAAAGAAGCAATGAACTAAAGATGTAATTTAACAAGAACATGCTAAATATTACAAGTGTCATGTTCACCAGTAGACTATTTCAAGTGACATGATAATATTATCCATAGAGAAGATGGGGACCCGTGACTTATATAGTCATCCTATTACAATAATACTCTTTATTTCAGTGTTTTTTCTCGATCAAGAATGTGGAAAAGAAATCCAATTATAATAATACAAGTAACTCAGTGTTTGAATGAAAACTAAAGCTTCAGTCCCCGCTAGCCATAGTTAAAAGCCACGTGCTCAAAGTTGTTATCATAATCACACAGCATAAATGAACTATTGGGGTTTTCAAAGAAGGCCTCAAAGCCGTGACTTGGATAAAAATACAATGTAAAGCATAAGTACTTCCCTTTATATATATATATATATATATATATCAGTAGATAAGAACTAATACTGATGCACAACAGAAATATAAAGGATAACGAAATTCAAGATGTATACCACGGCATAGCCACGAGCTACACTGATGCACAACAGAAATATAAAGGATAACGAAATTCAAGATATATACCATGGCATAGCCACGAGCTACTTTTGCTTGAAAGAATGAGTCATGCGCCTCAGACACATGCAGGCTAAGTAGGCGTGATGTTGGGTAAACTCTTGGGCATACTGAACAAGAGGCAGTATGCCGCGCATTGTAATGATCTTCAAAGTCATCCAAAGATTTCAAGCGCGCACCACAACCAACAATTGGGCAAAATATTTCCCTGTACAGATAACAATTCCAGAAACAAACATTGGAAACTCAGGAATGGAGTCTCGATCATACATTGAAAATAAAGAAAGAAATAGTCAACAAGTATCACAAATCATTACTTCCGACTTCGCCATGAATTTTCTTCCTTTTGTAATTGCAACCAATCATTTAACCTCTAAATAAAGCCTCAAGGGCTCAAACTTACAATATATGAGGAGATAGCAAAATAAACCTTTACCTGGCAGCATCAACTACCATACTTTGAAGCTGTACTTTTTCATCTTCGGTTAAATCCAAGGCAACCTTCAAAATAAAACAAATGAAAATAAAAATATCGAATATCACGAGTGTCAACATTAGGGATTAGAGTGAAAATTCCGCAAGTTAACCATCCGAAAACGGAAAACTCAAAACCTAGTAAGCTCCAGTATCAAACAGATATCTCATAATCGTGTTCTAACAAGAGTTGATTTCAGGAATACGGGACAAAATTAGTTATAAATAGACGCATTCAGGAGAAGGGTAACAATATGGGCAAACAAGCAGAGAAAGGAAAGAGAGAAAACCTGTTTGGCCAAGATTTCGCGCTCGACATTTCCAGAGGCGAAGAAGGGAGAATCAGGATCGAACCTCCGTTGGAAAGGCTTCCAGTACGGAAACTCTGATTGTGCTTCAACTTCCATGGCAAGGCAAAGGACCGTTGCAGAGGGAGATTCAATTTGCTTCGAACGGCCGAAGGGACGCTGATTAAGCTTCACTCATCGGTGCGTCGCGTCGTATAATCGCCTGATCGGGGCCCCGACCCGAAAGTCCGATTTTCATTTGTAACTATTTTTTTTTTTTTAATATTTTCTGAAATTAAGGTTGATATTTCTAAAGAATAAAATTGAGGTTTCTAATTTCTGTAATTACGAGGAGTTGAAAAGATTTGAACTTTAACTGAATATCCTAAATCAACTAAATTTGATCAATTAAGTTGTCACTAATGAAATAAAGTAAGATTGATTTTCTTTTGATTAGGTGTATTTTATATTTGTTAAATCTTTTTTTCAAGGGTTTGGTTTTAATTTATGGACATAATTAAAAAGGTTAATCAAGTTCTATAGAGATGGTTCAACTCACAATGATTAATTGATCAAAACTAAAATATATTAGAATTTAAATCCACCCATCTCCAATATTTATTTTGTAAAAAAAAAGGAGGATTATTCAAGAATAATGGAAGGATTTTATTCCTATTTTAATAAATATTTATATGCCAACCTATAATATAGGTATTTGAAATTTAAATCCTTGAAGGAAAAAACTTTACACGCAGGAGAACATGTAAGAATAAAGAAACTCTCCTTATTTTCAATTCAAATATCAGATCTTTGATTTTTTTTTTTTTTTTTAAGGAAACTCTTTGAGTTTAAGTATTTTCATTAAAATTAAATCAATTCATAGGATAATTAATTTATTAATTCCAAAATGACAATCAAACATGGAACATAGAAATTAAACAAACAATTCACATCTAAAATTTTATTCAAAATTCTCTCTCACAGTGTCACACGTGTTTGTGTTGAAAATTCTTAATATGGCATAAATTGTTTTTCCGCTACCATTTCAAACTTTTTTTCCCCTTAAACCAACCAACATTACAAAATTTGTATCCACATGTTTGTTCATGTCTCATGACATCATTATTCCAAATTCAAACAATTATGATATGAAATCAAACTTTATGACTTAATGAAGTCAACTAAACTAAAAATTAAATCCCCCATCTTCTTACATGCAAGGAACTAAGCCACTAAGACAGCCATTGTCCTCTTTACTTTTCTTCTTTAATTAGCTGTCCCACTTCTCTTCTTCCCTCTATTTAAATTAAACCCCGACCCCAGCCCCAAATAATTAACTGGCCAAGCTGCTCGTCAATGGCAGCCCTTGCAATGCAAGTGCTACCACTTTTAGCTCTGGTTTGTATGTTCTTCCACCTCGGAGAAGGCCAGCTCTCGCAAAACTTCTACAATTCTACGTGCCCAAACGTCGAACAAATTGTTCGAAATGCTGTCAATGCAAAGTTCAGTCAGACATTCGTTACTGTTCCAGCAACTCTGAGGCTGTTCTTCCATGATTGCTTTGTTCAAGTGAGTTGCAGAGTTTTGATTTATTTTACAACAAAATTAAATTTAAAAGTTTTGTATGTATTATTACAATGGTATGATATTGTCTATTGTCCCTTTCCTAATTCACGTGGTACGTTGTTTTATTGATGTCTGTTGTTTTGTAGGGATGTGATGCTTCGGTTATGATTGCGTTGGCGAGTGGTGACGCCGAGAAGGACGCGACGGACAATCTGTCGTTGGCCGGCGATGGTTTTGATACTGTGGTTAAGGCAAAGCAAGCCGTGGAAGCTGTGTGTCCCGGAAAAGTCTCATGTGCTGATATATTGGCCATTGCTGCTAGGGACGTGGTGGTTCTGGTTAGTTTTTCTAGCATAATTTGCTCCAACTTCCTTTTTTATATTAGGATTCAAATATGACCAAACCAGATACTTGCAACTCTTTTTTTTGTCTGTCGCTCTCTAACCTATTACATAAATTATGCCATTGAAAAGCTTTGAATCCCTCTGCTTGGAATCTGTTTCTTTTTAATAATTATATGGCTCTAATAACACAAGCTCATATAATCATGATATACACATTTGAAGCCATTCTTCATTCATCCATTAAACAAATTAAACAAATTATGATGGAATGCAATAAAAATTGAAATGATTATCTTTTCAAAATGTAAATAAATACTAAAAGAGATGTGTATTAAAATTTAGAGGTCAAAATAAAAATAATTTTGTCACATGAATTTTAATGAAAATTTAAAGTTTAAATTTCAATTTGATCCATTAAATTAGAAGCTCTATTTTAGCTCAACCTCATTATTGGGCTGGGTCAATTTGACCGACTTAAAGAAGCAACGACCCTAACTTAGTCCAAATCCAAACATGATGGATGGGCTTGGGGCGGACCTGACCACTCAAACGAGCTGGCCCACAGGTCATTCTAATTTAAAAAACGAAGATCTATATGCATTTCAATGGAAAGAAGGATTAGGTTAAATCAGACCAATAAAATTTTAGACCTTAGATCCGAACTTTACTTTACTTGACTAAACTTGGACCCGCTTTCAATAACTAATGTGAGACCTTTATTATTATTTTATTACCTAATATTCCCTTACCCAATACTTAACTTAGTCACACCTATCTGATTCCAATAACTGCTCACATTAAAATAATATATATATACTTGAAGTCATGTTATCTTTTTGTCTTTTTATTTTTTAAGTATAAATTAGATGTATGAAATTTGGAATATGGAAGTACGTGTCAATTATTGTTGCACTAAGATTTATTCGTATTTCAATCTCGTTTAAACGATAAACAAAAATATAATTATTTAATATTTGATTTGATAGGCGGGAGGCCCAAATTTCGCGGTGGAATTGGGGCGGCGTGATGGGCTAATCTCGAAGGCATCTCTGGTGGTCGGAAACCTGCCGGGACCGACGTTCAACCTGAGCCAGCTAAACGCCATGTTCGCCAAAAACGGCCTAACCCAAACCGACATGATAGCTCTGTCGGGAGCCCACACGGTCGGGTTCTCCCACTGCAGCCGCTTCGCCGACCGCCTCTACGCCTTCTCCCCGTCGTCGCCGGTGGACCCGTCTCTGGACCCAAACTACGCCAAGCAGCTCATGAAATCTTGCCCCCAAGACGTGGACCCCAGAGTAGCCGTGGACATGGATCCCGTAACCCCTCAGAAACTGGACAACATTTATTATCAGAATCTGGTGAACCACAAGGGCCTGTTCACGTCGGACCAGGTTCTGTTCACCGATCCCTTGTCGCAGCCCACCGTTAATGGCTTCGCCACGGATCGCAGTAGTTTCAATAAAGCATTTGCCGCCGCCATGGTCAGGCTTGGGAGGGTGGGCGTTAAGACTGGTATTTCGGGTCAGATTAGAACAGACTGCACCGCCTACAATTCTTAACACAAAAACCATATATATCAATTATACGCCTGCTGGTTCTTTTCAATTTCTCATATGCTTTTATGTGTTGTGTTTTTTTTTTCTAAATTCAACGAAGTTGAGGAGATTCGAAACGCATTGAAAGTAATACTTCGACCAATTTAATATATATATATATTTTTTTTATGGTCTCTTGATTACCATGTGTACCAAAAATTAATTTATCTTTCATGTGCGTTAAATTAAAGCAAATCCAACCATCAAAATTAATGATATGTTTGTTTTAAAGGGGGTTTAATTGTCAATCTTGTCTCATAATGTAAAAATATATTTTTTTAATAAGAGTCGCAAGTATATATTGTTTGAATAAAAATCATTATCTTTTAAATTTATTAAAATGTAGAAATGAAATTAATTATTGGTGGCACATCAAAACTAAATTATTGGTACATACTACAAGTGGTACTCTAATTTTAATATTTTCTTCAAAATCAAATGTACAAATGATTGTTTTTATTATTCCACAACAGTAGAAATGATCACTCAATCATCAAATTTATTTTAATCTTTTCAAACATAAAATTAAAATTAAAATCTAAATAAAGTGTTATTTTCGTTGCCCCCGGCTGAATTGGACTTCTATTATGCCAAAATGAGTTTACTAATTGTTTTTAAAATAACGTTTCTCGTAGTATTATCTTTCCAGGACTTATTGAAGTCAATTAGCTATGTGTTGGATTTTGATACGGCTAATTAATCTGCCAAATTTATTAATAAAGAGACCATACGAAAATGATCGAATCCGAATGGGAAAAATAATAATAATAATAATAATAATAATAATAATTTTTAGGATTAAATTTAGGAATGATGAATATGAGAAATGATGTTTATCCAAACTTAGAGAAACTTAAAAGTGAAAAAAACAAAAAACAAGTGAGTATAATTTATATTGTATATATCAAGGGAAAGGGAAACCACGGGTCGGATTTGTTAGAGAGTCGTTTTCATTCTCTGCAAGCAAACACCTAGGGGCAGTTTTGTCATTTCTGGACTGTAGTTTGGTAATTAGAAATTAGAAACTAAAACCACCTCTCCCAAATTTCAAACAAATTGAATATTAAATAATTACAACTTGTTAAACCTCGTGTCGTTCTCGAATTCCCATCAAATAAATAAGTATAATTATTTATTACAAATTATTAAATAGCAGAGGATTCAATTGTTTTGCTAGCATCGTTAAGAATTGAATAGACCTATCAAGAATTATTTATAATAAGGATGAATTAATCATCTCATTGTCAAATGATTTTAAGATGGAATCCATGAATATTGATATGGTATCGGAACTCAAAACGCTCCAGTAAATTTTGTTCTTTATAATTTGAGTTCAAATTAGAGTCAACAAATCCAAAAGCATCTCGTGCTCTAATGTTGACTTTTCCCATAATAATAGTTGTCATGTCAAATGTGGCCAACACCTCCATTCGAATCTTTTTTAGCAAGATGGAATTGTGAAGCTAACTTATGAATCAAATTTTCAACTTCATTAACCTGCTGAAAAAAAAAGTGAACTGTTTTTTTTTAATAATTTTTGATATTTGATAATATAAGATACCTAACCAGAGTTCATAATATAGGTGCGCCGTTTCTCTTGTTGTTAATTAATTTTAAAATGGAACTCCATGAATATTAATAATATGGTATTAGAGCTCAAAAGTTCAAAAGAATCACGAGATAAATTTATTTCTTCCAAGCTTTTTATATGCACCGAGAAAAATGATTTTTCCTAACGTTTTTATTTTATGCGTCAAAAATGAAAATATCGAGAAAAGTTTTTTTTTTCTTGTTGCAGTGCTATTCAAAATTAATCTACAATAGTCTCATACTAATTATAGAAGTAGCATCCCACGTACACTTAAATTGATGAAAACTTCTAAAAAACTGAAAGATAGATAAACACAATAATTTTGAAATTAGGATGATAAATAAAATTTGTAATGTAGTGCTAAATATAAATGAAAGTGATTGAAAAGTATTTTCATGACTTTCACCAAAGTGCCAGCTGCCGTGTGACAAGATTAGTTTTTCTAACAATGATGATTATATTATAGTGTGGGTTTGCATGCACGATATTAAATTTTCATTGCACATTGACATTTTCATCAATACTTTTCTGTCTATAAATTCGACATTAATACAAACCGTGGGTGTTGTATTGTAAAAAAATCGACCTAATATTGAAAAGAAATCTAAATGGATGATTATTAAGGGCGTACTTGCTAACCATTTCTATTCTTAGTTTGTGGTTTTTGATTTTTAGCTGTTTTCTATTTTTAAAAAACAAAAATCATATATGTTTGATATAACTATTTTTTGTTTTTTATTTTTAAAAAACATAAAATCAAACATGTTTGGTATTTTTCTATTTTTAAAAAGTTAAAAAATTGAAAATACATATTCGACGGAGAAAATTCTACACATAGTAGAGATAACACTAGTGTGGGTGGGAGTGGAGATGTTCTCCCTCATTCTCGTGCTCGTGAAAATTTTCAGTCTCCGTCTCCATTACTTTTTCGGTCTGAGAGATGTTCTCGAAAAAAATTATCTATTTTATAATTAATTTTAATTATTTTTAGACATTTAGGGAAAATTTAGGGTGAGAAAGAATTTTTTTAGAGAAAGATAGGAGAAAGAAAAAAAATTTTGAATATTAAAAGAAAAAATCAGATTTTGAAAACAGACATTTGCTTTTGATTTTTTTTTTTTTAAAATTTACATAGAAATTCAAATGAATTTTGGAAAATAAAAAACAGAAAATTGAATTGGTTATATAAAAATAGTAAACGAAACCGCTATCAAATGCAACCCAGCTTTTTAAAATGGTGTCGAATAAACTATAATGGGTGGTTCATTGGTCCAAAGGGATTAGGGTAATTAAGAATTAGTAATTTCTATTTATTTTCCAACATCAAATATTATAGAGTTATAGAGTCATTGTCTCGTGAGATTAGTCGAAATGCACCTAAGCAAATCCGGATACTAACAAATATTAAAAAAAAATGTTGTCTAATTAGGTAGGAGGATAATTTATACACCAAGGCATGTAATACAGATATTATTAGCCGAAAGAAGAGGGCTATAGTGGCGGCAGCGGAATTAATTAATATATAAATAAAAGAAAATGCGTAAAAAAATGACGTGGATATTGTGGGACGACGTTGACTGAATTAGATTAGCAACTACAGAAAGAAAATCATTATATATTAGCCACCATACGTAAGCTGAAACTGAAAGGTGCGTGATCAGAAATTATGATTAACATTAAGGCTGAACTGATGAATTAATGGTGGCTATAAAAAGAAAAACAAGGCCACGGCGGTGACCAGAAATAATAATAATAATAATAATAAGGCTAAAATATGGGAGCTTTGCGTAATTGTGTTTGTGCTTTGATTTTAATGGTGATTTTTGCAGTGAAGGGAGGAGAGGGGCAGCTGGTGGAGAATTTCTATGGATCCAGCTGCCCAAACTTGGAACAAATTGTGCGACAGGCAGTTCAGAACAAGCTTTCCCAAACCATTATTACTCTTCCTGCCACTCTCCGTCTCTTCTTTCACGACTGTTTTGTCGAGGTATCTGTTAAAATTACTCAATTTTTTTTATTTATTTATGATATATAGCTTCTTGTATGTTTAAGTACTTTTAAAGTTCATGGACTAATTTGACATTCAATTCTAACCTATTAACTAAATATAGAATGGAAAATTTTAGATATTTTTAAAAGTTTGAAGGTGTTAACACGTTTTTTAAATAATTTTCATTTCTAAATTTTGCATAAAAGGAAATAAATTATTTTACTCATTGTTAATGGTTGGTTTTTCTTTTGGAAAATTTTATGTCTAATCTGCTTGCTGCTATATATGGCTTTAAATCATTATTGAAGTGAATATTTATTAATCAAAAAATGCACGTATGTTCCATTAAAAAAAAGATGCACATATGTCATGTGCTTGTTAAATAATTGGTTAGAAAAAACTAATTGAGGAATTAAATTATTTTTTATGCCAAGTTTTAAAATTATTTTTTAAAAAATGTATGGACAAATTAACAGGTGATTGGAATGGCTCAGAATTTTTAAATCATGGGCGGTAAAAAATATTAATTTTATATCTTTTTTTTTTTTTTATGCAGCATCCTCTCTCTTTTCTCTTCTTTTTATTTTTTTTCTTTTCAGCAAGTATTTGGTTTTTTGGTCCTAGTTAAGTTAAAAGTTATATGGACTAAGGTGTATTTTACCCTTTTTCTAATTCGGGATTCGAAGCTCTTAATTGAGCAGTCGTGACATATTTTACACTAATACTATTTTTACTTTCAGATTGTTTTTTATATTCGAGACTAATTTTCCTATATACAATAATCAAAAGGAAGTAATCGACCTTAATTTTAACCAAATCATGTAGTCTTCATCATAAAAAAATAGATAAAAAAAATTAGCATACAGTTAAAGTCAATCATCTTAATAAAATTTTAATTTTTTTAAATTCAACTGGTAATTGATAAAGAATATATAACTTAACCATTTGAGTCGTATTAAAGTTGGTAATTAAATTAAAGTTTCATTTGATAAGGTTATGTTAGCTTTGGCCAATGGAGAAGAAAGTAGTTTTAAAATTTTACTTTTTTTTTTCTGAAAATTTTATGTGTCCGAAAATAAAATAAACTATAAATTTCCCATAAACTTTTCCAGATTCTTCAATTTAGCGCTCATACTAAAAAAAAAAAAATATCTGTAAGTCTTCTAAAACTTAATCATGTTTATTTAATGTGGATAAATAAAAAATTATTCTTAACAATCTTTAAAATCTTAAGTTTAATAGGTGGCATATCATTTCTTTTTAAGTATAAAGTCACTTATCACTAACTTACATTAATCAAGGTCCTAATTTGCTAAAGTAAACCCGCCACACATCCTTAAATAATATAATACAATTAGCGTGTCATGTAAATATTAAATAAATCCTAGAAGATAGTTATTATCACGCCAAAAATATATCACCGTATACGTACCCTTGCAATTATTTTTTATTTTTTATTTTTTATTTTGATAAACACACCCTTGCAACTATTAAAATCAAGAAAGAAAAACGAGTTAGTTATAAATTCTTAAATTACCTGGATTAAATAAACACCACATAAGCTACAAGTTTAGGGAGAAAGGGCATAATTTCCCTTTATCCTCTGTCAAAAAATAAATAAATAAAATTCCCTTTATCCAATTATAAAATTAATATTTAAAAATTAAAAAAAAAATCGTTACGAGGTGTTATTCGCGGTTTGGTGTCAGGGATGCGATGCTTCAGTGATGATTTCATCGCCCACCGGAGACGCAGAGAAGGACGCTCAGGATAACCTCTCCCTCGCCGGAGATGGATTCGACACCGTCGTCAAGGCCAAGCAGGCCGTCGAAGCCGCCTGCCCCGGCCGTGTCTCCTGCGCCGACATATTGGCTCTCGCCGCCAGAGACGCCGTCGTCCTCGTATGTGCTCAACTTAATCCGATTCAAAACCTAAATTAATCAATCAAGATCAATTGCTCATCAATTTTCCATCTCCGCAGGCCGGAGGCCCCAGTTTTAGCGTCGAATTAGGGCGCCGCGACGGCCGAATCTCCAAAGCCTCGAGCGTCGACGGCAATTTACCATCCCCCAATTTCGATCTCAACAGACTGACATCCATCTTCGCCAAAAACGGCCTCTCCCAGACCGACATGATCGCTCTCTCCGGCGCCCACACCATCGGCGCCTCTCACTGCAACCGCTTCGCCGATCGCCTCTTCTCGTCGGATCCGTCGCTGAATCCGGCGTACGCGGCGCAGCTGAAGCAAGCCTGCCCCCGGAATGTGGACCCCAGCGTGGTCGTCAGCCTCGATCCGACCACCCCGAACACCTTCGACAACGCGTATTACCGGAATCTGGTGGACGGCAAAGGGCTGTTCACGTCGGACGAGGTTCTGTTCACGAGCTCGCCGTCGAAGGCGACGGTGATGGGATTTGCGAACAATCCAGGGCAGTTTAATGCGGCGTTTGTGGCGGCGATGAGGAAGCTGGGGAGAGTCGGGGTTAAGACGGGGGCGGCCGGAGAGATTAGGAGAGATTGCAGTGCCTTTAATTGATGAAGAAGACGCAGATTGAAGGAGCTCCATGTGGGCCTATCAATGGCTTCCAAATCACTCAATAAAATAAAAGTCACCCAATACGACGCCGTCTCAGCGTGCGTGGCTTCGTATTTGGTTGTAGTTGTAGCCCAATAATGTGTAAATTCACTTGTTTCTTAATTGTATAAAAGAAATGTGTAATAAAATTGTGATTAATTTGTGTTTGATTGTTGTTGGTAGCCTCCCATGTTAAATTACAAGCTTGATTTTAGCATATATATTTAATGATGAGATGTATTAAACATAAAATTTAAAGTTAGAGGCTACTTAAAATTTCTTTAAAATATAAAAGTTCAAATAGACACCATCCTACAAATTTGGTACCAAAATTCTATTTTTATCTCTCAAAATTTTAATTTATTTTTATTTTGGTCATTCAGAACCTTCAAAATGTAGCTTTAACATATGTCCATATATATGGACAAATTTATAAATATATTTCAAGTCATACTATCTAGAATATAACCTGAAATTTACTATTATGACAAATTTTAATTGACTTGTAGGGATATACAAGATATATCAAAATTTTATAAAGGGCCAAAAGCCACACAGGATTATTAATTAGAAGCCAGAGATAAAATAATGGAAACTTGCATCATCTGACTTATAATAAAAACAACATTCATTTAAAGATATCGTGGAGTAGTTACATGACTTATTGATTTCAAATAAAGTTGCGTGGATAACTTAAAATTGCTCTCAAATTGAAATTTGAATACCAAAAATTTTAAGCAAGTCTATTTCAAGTGTTAATCAAGCCTTAAATTTAATCAAAGCCAACAAAACGCGAAACTTGGTCCATTCGCTTATATATTTCTAATTCCATCTTATTTTAATTTTCATTTTGTTATTCTAGCATCAATATTGCTCCCTCGGATAATACTCAACTTTATGGAAGATGATAATATATAATTTTGAAAAGGCCAACATATTATAATTTTTTAGAGAAGTCTTAGGATGGGAGTTAGCAATGGGGGTGGGTATTGATTTCTTAATAATAAAGGGTTATGAATTTTTTGTAGTTGTTGAATTTTTCTGGTCCCAAGTTGGTGTTTGTAAATTGTAATATGATTTAACTTTCTATTTCCTTACCACTTCCAACTTTGACTTTAAACTGTGAAAAATGTGGGTTTCATGCACAAACTTTGAATGTTATAATATAATTAATGTCATTTTCATGCAGCCTTGCAAGGAAACTTTCTTTCTGAAAAAACAAACCAACTACTCGTTCATTTCTAATTATATGTATGAATGATTCTACTATAATATAAAATTACCAACTTTCCTTTTTCTTTTTCTTTGTTTTTTTTTCCCCCTAAAAATCACAACGTGGAATAATAAATTTATCGAGGAAACGAAACGACTGACCGTAATATTTTTTGTTTTGAGTTCAACAAATGTGGTATGAAGATTGGAACTTCCAACTTTTAGAGAATGACTAAGATACTTTAATCAGTAAATTGTGGTCAATATACAATGTCACTTAAACTCAGAGTTAAATTCGTTGGATCTTAAGTATGATGATTTACTTCCGAAAAAAGAAAAAAAAGTAATGCAACTACACAAAAAGTTGCAATTCATAGACGAACACGCTCTTTCAAGGTTGAGGCAGTAGTGCTACCAAAATACTGAGTTCTAAGTCGAGGAAATCAAACTCAACGTTGTCAAATATGTGCTCTTCTAATAACAATAAATTTAGATGATATTTTTCTTTTAAAAGAATGCAAGTACAAGTATAGCATTTTCTTTAAAACGTAACGATTAACCGTCACAATACTAATTATGATAAAGGAAAGATTATTATAGTATTTCTTCAACATTTAAACAAAGCTAAGTCAGCCCAATTATTTGATTAAAGTAATACTAATCCTTATATGACCCCAGCAACACAAACGTCATATATTTACACTCTCTCTCTCTCGAAAAATGTTGAAATTATAAAACTTTGACCAATTACACAGAAGCCATCCCTCTAATTTCCATTTTGTTGATCTCCCACATACTTTATATAAATATATATAGCCATTGATGCGTGGCATAGAAGAGGCACGAGGAGATATCTCAGAAATATTACGTTCGTTTTGTAGAGAGAGAGAGGAATTAAAGATGGGATTTTTGTGGAGGGTTTTGGTTTTGGCTGCGGTTCTGGCGGCGGCGGAGGCACAATTGGCAGAGAACTTCTACTCCTCGACTTGCCCAAATGTGGAGCAAATCGTCAAACAAGCTGTTCAAACCAAGTTTTCTCAAACTTTTGTCACCATTCCTGCAACTTTGCGACTCTTCTTCCATGATTGCTTTGTCGAGGTAATATTCTATTATATTACTTCTCTCTCTTGCTTTTCGCACTCGAAATATGATTCTTTATGAGCTGCGAACATAATCTCATATCGACATGAAGAACACGTTATAATAATATATTGATTCAAGGTATTGGAATTTTTTAATAGTGAAATTATACGTATTTTAATCTAAAATATAGACTATGTTCTATTATTCTAAAGATATAAAGGAAGGAAGCTGGTAATATAGGAACTAAGCAACTCTTATTTAGTACCTAAACCATTTGACTTTGGAGGTACTTGAGAACCAACTTCTTACATATTACAACCGTATATACTTTGGAAGACAATTCTTCGAACCACCAATTCAATGATCTTGAAAAGACAAGTGATGTTGAAATTTGAATATTTAGTAGATTTTTCAATGTTGTTTGAGTCATTTCAATTTGATTCAGGGATGTGATGCTTCGGTGTTGATAGCATCCCCAAATGGGGATGCAGAGAAGGATGCTCAAGACAATCTTTCATTGGCAGGAGATGGTTTTGACACCGTTGTTAAAGCTAAAGAAGCTGTTGAAGCCTCTTGCCCTGGCATCGTCTCTTGCGCTGACATTCTAGCTCTTGCAACTAGAGACGTCGTCGTGTTGGTAACTTCCCAATTAAAAAAAAAATACTTACTTGTCCTCGCCATTATTAAAAAATTTAACCATTCACTATTCTTAAAAAGTTATTGTTTTTGCTTTTTTTTTTCTCTTAATTGCAAACTTTTAATGGCGTTGAGAATAAAATTCGTCGAGTCAAATATTTTTTAATGGAAATTACTTCGCTTCTAACAGGTGAGTACTAAATTTTGTCCTACCACCCTTGAAAAATTGATAACTCATTAATATTAAAAAAATAAAAATCGTGGTCAGCTAAAGCGAAATATTTACTTTTTCAATTAACAATATTTTTTTCCAATTTTTTGTTGGGGGCTGTTTTGTAATTAACAAAGCTTCTATTTGTCATATAAGGCCGGAGGCCCAGATTACAGCGTTGAACTGGGCCGTCGAGATGGGCTGGTTTCGGAAGCCTCACGAGTGGCCGGAAACCTGCCGGAGCCGTCGTTCGATCTGGACCAACTGACGACCATGTTCGCCGGACACAACCTGAGCCAGGTGGACATGATAGCGCTGTCGGGGGCCCACACGGTGGGGTTCTCCCACTGCAACCGTTTCGCGAACCGGCTGTACTCGTTCTCGCCGTCGTCGCCGGTGGACCCGTCGCTGGACCCGACTTACGCCCAGGAGCTGATGCAGGCTTGTCCCCAGAACGCGGACCCCAGCATTGCCATAAACATGGATCCTCAGACCCCACGAATCTTCGACAACGTGTACTACCAGAATCTGGCCGCTGGCAAGGGCCTCTTCACCTCCGACCAGATTCTGTTCACGGAATCCGAATCTCAGACCACCGTCACCGGCTTTGCCAACAACGGGGCGGAGTTTAATGCGGCGTTCGTCACGGCGATGACCAAGATGGGTCGGGTCGGGGTCAAGACGGGCCAGGCTGGCGAAATTCGAATCGATTGCAGCGCCTTTAATTAATTAATTAATTAATGGAGATTGTTACCGGATTTGGATTTGCAGCACTTTGCATATTATATTCTGCTGCTCCAATCTCCATCGTTGTGTAAGATATATATAATTACCTCGGAAAAAAAAATGAAACAAAGTTCTGCCCTTTGTTCCTAATTTATGCATTTCCCAAATAATGGTGAGTTGTAAGCTTCAAATTTGTCTGTCCAAATAATAATATTTGTTGGTATAATTTTTAGTTCTATTTCTTACGTAACTTTAATGGTTAAGAATCGTCAGCTACACTGTTCTATTGTCCATAATTTTGTATAATCATGCAACCGTCAATAAAAAATTAAGTTTCCCGTTTATAGAATTTGGTAAGAGAATGAATTTTTTTCTCGAAACTAATGTAAAAAAAAAAACTTTATTTTTCCTTTTTTAAGAATAATATCTCAACATTTTCATTTTGAAGGAAATAATTATAGGTGGAGCCAGCCAAAGTGATGAATATTTAAACATGGATAGCAACGTGCTTTGGACATTGTTCTTAGAAGGGATATTTTGAGTTGTACTAAAAAATAAAATAAAATAAAATATCGGAAGGCAATGAATCAAAGGTTGTACTCTAACAACTCAATAGGAATAGTATACAGGGGCATGTCGAGGTTAGAAATGTCTTCTTCGTTCTCGATCTTTAAGAAATTTCAATCTCCATCCTTGATTTTAGGGAATTGGGATAGGTTCAAAAGTATGTTAGAAAAAGAAAGACAAAGAGGCTTCCTTACAACTCAATGAGTTGGGAGATGTAGAAAGAAAGAAAAAAAAAAAAAAAAAAATTATTACCTCTCTATTAATAGTTTAATGAAATGTCTCCAATCTCGTGTTTTGGACACTTTGGAGTAAAGATTTTCCCAACAAACATCTTGATGTGATGTTTGTTAATGAAAGGAGAAATTATATGATTGACCGACCATTTCTCATTTTCTCCTATTCAAATCATTTACAAGAAATAACAATAAAATATATTACAACTTACAACTAAAAAATGATTGTAGCCACATCATGAACCACAAGAATCCAACAAGTCGCTTTAATAATACATCCTGTTTATGACAACAAAATGGACAAAAATAAATCAATACCATATTCTTTGTTTTCACTGATCAATAATGGTGAATCCTAAATACAATATGTTCCACAACAATTAATTTTCATATATATATATAAATATATATTCTTTTTTTTTCAGGGGAGAAAGGGAAGGAAGATGGCACATGAAAGTAGCTGTTGTTCTTCCGCCCACGACCCAACTGTAGTCTGCAACACACAGGAAAAAGGCATTTTTATACCAAAAGGGCGAATGGAAATCTATTTCTTTCAGCTTCTTGCATCTCTGAACAGGCTTCTTGTGTCGTTCTTGCAGCAAAAATTCCACTCCATCTCAAAACAAAGAACACGAAAGGGTAACGACAACTCTCGACTGACAAAACCGATTACGAAAGCATTGATGCACGAGATTTTCCGTACAGGTTGTAGTAAACAACCTTTGTCCGATACACCAAAATCAAACTTAACATGGCTGCAACAGCACAGAATGCAGCCATGATCATAGAAGTCAGAAAGAAGCATATGGAACCCTCGCACTTGAGCGCTCCCTCGCTGTAAAGTCTGCCGAACCAAACCGATGGGATGCTATGCATCTGAGGGTGATGACTATGAGCTTGCTTCTCTGCTTCACTATCATATATACTGCTTGCAATTACGCCAGAAAATATCAGAGATCCCATGGGATTTGAGAGAGTGAGGAAGTTGTATAAAGCCCCAAACTTTTTCAAGCCAAACAATTCAGAGGCAGTAGCGGGAACGATCGCCCAGTGAGCCCCATACCCGAGCCCTGTTAAGAGAGTACCGACGTACATTGCCCCGGGCCATCCCATACCAATGAAGATATGTCCAAATACCATAAGGAATTGGGCGACCGCCATTGCAATGGGTCTTGGATAAGCATAATCTCTGTTAAAGAAAATGATAGTAAGATATAGTGCAATATTCTAACAAGTATAAAGTTCTACTCACTGGCCTTGAGACAACTAAAATCATTTTTGTACCTTACAACAATCTCAGAGAAGTATCCGCCACCAACACGGCCGAGAAAGTTCCATATGCTGATCAGGGATACAAAAATATGCGTGTTATCATAGCCTAAAGACTGGCTCATCTGACCAAGGTTATCGATCACGGTCAATCCGCTTCCAGAACCAAAGAGAAGGGATACAAATATAAGCCAAAAATCTGCTTTGATCAAAGCTTGAGTTAAGGTGAAGTCTTCCCCTCTACGTGGACCCTTTCTTCTCTTGACCCTTACTGCTCCTTCTGCAGCTGCTTGCAATAGTCTTGTTTGTAACTGAGCAATGCGTTTTTGTCTCTCCGATGCAGGAAGCAAGTCCTCGCCCTCGGATTTTTCGTCTTCCACCTCACTAAATAACACTTCATGACCATCTGGTTCAGTTCTGGCAGGTTCCTGTTTTTGTGACGGATGTAGGAGAGCCTCTTGTTCAGGATATGTTGACTCGACGCTAAAAGTCAATGCCACGGGAATCAAGAAGGGAGTAAGAAGGATGACAAACATAATTGCAGTAAAAACGGCTATCACAGTGGGGTTCAAGGTAAAAATATCCTGAACAAGCATGACTCCCATCAAATATGCAGCCAAAAGGAGGCAGACACCATAAACACAAGTAAAGCTTGTGGCATCGGACGGCCTTACTTGTCGATGACCCGCAACAGGTCTGATAAAAAACATCATACCAATAGCCACCAGTGCAGGACCTACTGCAACCATGAATATAAGATTGGCTGATTCAGGAGAATGGATGATTGCATATATCTGAGTCAAAATTGCACCACTTAAACCAGCAAAGCCTTTCAGAATCCCGACCACAGGACCCCTGCTTTTCGGGAAGTTTTGTACACAAGAAACCAGAGAAACGGTATTGAAGTACGTCTCCCCGTTCGTTCCCACAAATACAAGAACGCACATCTGCACAATGATAATATTCACACTTGACCAAACTAAAATGATAAACTAGGAAATAGCTTAACAATTTGTTCTTCAAACTTCAATTGGTAAGAGTCGTTCAATTAAAACCATTAATGCATCTCACCTCTCATTCCCTTTCTTATAGTCTTATATAATAGCCAAGCTTTTCTTTAAAACTGAAATTCTAGACTAACTTGGCCATAAGATAATGAATTTTTTCAATCCTAATGCACAGGGTAGGATTGATTCTGGACCGACCTTTCAAATGAATAGCTTATGTTCAGTAAATCTGATTGTAAAGAACTTTCGCAGGAATCAGTTTTCCATCCATGAAAATTCAATAAAATTACTCCTATAACACAGAGAAGCAAATTATCAAACAGGTGAGCTGCTTCCCGCTGCATTTTTCATACAACAGAACTAAAAGTGATCTTTCAGAGAAAATCTGAAGCAAATACCAAACTGTTTTCAAGCTCTCAAACATCAATTAGATTTGTAAAGGCAGAATCATCCCCCCACCCCCAGATGCGCTTTCGAAACCAATAACAGATTCCCAACTCGTTGACCATTATGCAACTTTTGAAATTAGTTCACGAGAAAGCTAAACACCTCCATCAAATCCACCCTATCAAGATCTGATAACGGATATCCCATAAGGCGAAGATCCATACCCACAAAGAAATGGGGAATGGGAATGGATTTGGAATTGAAACTCAAAGAGAAGGGGCAAGATTGAAAACTTACCGCCCAGAGAGGCAAAACTGGAGCTCGACCAGAGACGATGAGCCAAAGCCAGCCATAACCGACGAAGTTATTGATAGCACCGACGAGCAGAGTACCCCAAAAGGGCAGTATCTCCGACAAGGTTCCGGCCAAAAATCCGACGCTGTCGCCGAGGTCCTTGGCGACACCGAGGCGCGCAAGCTGCCGTTGATTGTAGCTCAAATTGGTTTTAATCACCGGCGATATGCTTCCGAAAAGATACCCAATTCCGGCGCAAGATTGTATCCATATCGCAGCCACAAAAACCAGCCATCTATTGTTCAGAAAGGACACCAGTTTCTCATTCCACCGCCCCATCAAATGCCCAGAAATCCAACTCCAAACTCCCTCTGGTTTTTCGCTCCGTTTGAAACCTTGGTTGCAAAAGAGGAAATTAGAGAATGGAATTGAAGTCCTTAGCCTCTAAAAGGAAGACGAGGCCAATGGACAGAGATGGTGGGACACGACAGAGAACAGGCGGTGAGAAATGGGGATGATAACGTGGGGTCGATATATGGAAATGAAATGGGGTGGCAATGACAAAATTACAAACAGGGCTTTTATTATTATCTTCAAAGAAAATATCTTTCATGATTGCCTTCGCACTACACACAAGAAACCAGGAATTGGCCATGGCGATTCAAATTGGAACACGACAACAAAGCAATTCGATAATCTTACCACACTTACTGTTTGACCATTTCCATATGGAAATAGACATCTAATTTAAAACACAAAACTTTATGCTATTTTTTCTTTCCTTTTTTTGGCAAAGGAATAGTGCATTTTTCCTTATCTATACCATAAACTAAACTAATTTCATATTTTTGTAGATAATTGGTCCGACCAGTGTTGGATTGATCATGTAATTTACATTTTTTAGTACAATATGTGAGATGGAGATCGAACTCACAACCTCATGATCGGAGATATACATCAATTATTGTTTAATTATGTTCGCTTTGACCATATGATTTATTTATTGAAAGTCTATCTATAATATTTTTTATATTTGGCAAAAAATAATTTAAAATATTTTGTATTAATAATTATATTAATTTTTTAATACAATAACGGTGGGAGAGTAGATTGAACCTCCATATTCTAAAAAAAAAAAAAAAAGTTAGATGTATTAACTACTAAAACTATATTCATCTTAGTATAAATTATATTATTCTAGTCCAAGTTGCTAGAGTTGGGTCAATTATGCTAACTTTTTACAATTATCCCTTGGTTCCAACCGAACTTTTGAAACTAATGGTTAATAGTTATTCAATTAATTTTTATTTTAGGCTTTTTTTTAATTTATCTTTTTAACAAACAATTTAAATACGGACCGAGAAAATTTGTTAGAGAATTTAATTTAAAAGAAATATGAAAATTCATAAATTTATAAGAATGAATTTAAATTAATATTAAAGTGTCAAAGTGAGCATGTAATTGACATATACCTTCAATCATGATGTTGTGAATTCGATCCTCATCCCACGTGTTATACTAAAAAAATACAGAAAATAAAAAATAATAATATCAAAGCACATCATATATTTTTTTTAATAAGTTAATAACTCTTAAACACCTAAAAGTATAGATGAATTTAACTTTTGAAATCCGTTTAAGAGTTTATGTTTGTCGTTTGGCTAAAAATATTTTTCCAACAACCAAGTTGGTTGGATAATTAAATGATATTCAATTAAAATCAAGTCGTTTGATATATTTATCAGATACACGACCGTGCTTCACGCATTAAAATACCAAAATAAAAACATAACAATAATATATTTTTATTTCTCGTAATGGCATTTTCTGCTTTTACTTAGCTGTATATTTTAAATTATGGGACGACACTTAAACACTATGTTTCTGAGTCCGACTTTAAGTTTCTCCAATATTTTGGATAAGAATTTAAAAGCTTCACTTCTTAACTTCAGAAAAAGGAAAAAAAAAATCATCTTCACTTCTCGGATAAGGTCTGGTAATTTTTTATTTTTAGAAAAGGGTTGAGGGCATTTAAGACATTAACATTGATTTAAAAAATTGGAACATTAAATTTAAAATTTATGATATTTTGTAAGCACATGGAAAATATGTGAGAGAGACTGAGAGCGACGGATTTGAGAGCTGTGGGCCATAGTAACATGAACCACTAAGAGGAGGTTAAAATGCCACGTCTGTTGGGGCATGTTAAATTAAATTACTATTTCAATTTCTAATATGTGTTTGATTTTAAAACTTTCACTTTTAATTTTGAGGCTAAAATATTATTTTAATCATTATATATATTTTTTAATTTTTTTTCCTATACTTTCAAAATAGTTTTGATATCTATAATTTTAAATCATTTCTACAAATTCTACGCATAACAGAAACATAAAATATAAAGTTATGGTTGAATTTCAATAAATATGTTGATGTGGTATCGTGTTAAAGTTAGTGATAAAAAAATGAGATGTAAAATAAAATTAAATGACCAAAATGGTAATTTTATTTAAAAGTACAAGCATCAAAACCAACCGTTTAAAAGTATAGATACTAAAATAAATCAAAGTTGAAAGTACAAGTACCAAAATAAATACTTTAAAATTACGGAGACCAAAATGAATCAAAACTGAAAGTAGATAGACAAAAATAATAATTGACCTAACTTTTATAATGAATTAAAATTTATTATTTTTACACCGATTGCTAGAGGTCAAAAGTTTTTTTCCGTGGTTAAAAGAGAGCATTGTTCAACGATAATTGACACACATCTCCAATCAAAAGTGATGAGTTTAATCTCCCACCTCACCTCATGTGTTGAACTAAAATTAAAAAGAGAAAAAAAATCAGTTGGAAATTTTGTAGGGGTCAATTTATCAAATTTTTCTATTGTGTCCAATAAAAATATATTAGGTACATTGAGATCTGAGAACATAATATTAGAAATCAAATTAGGTACTCCAAAAATATATATATATATATATATATATATATATATATCAGAAATCAAATTATGATCGTTGATTTAATCGTTTATCGTTAAATATTTAAAACCAACGGTAGGGGTAGAGAGATATTTTAAGGGTGCAAGTTGCAAATATTGTATTATTTCCTAATATGTACATTGATGTTTGTTGGGGCTATTTTGGTAATTAACATTTAAAGTGAAAGATACTTTAGTACAACTAGCAAATATTTTATTCTTTCTTAAATATGAATAATTTATATTTTATAATATGTTATATATTACCACCATCATTACACATTATTTAAAAATTAAAAGGTAAAAGGTTTAGAATCTAGATGTTTTTTTTTTAGTACATTTTTTCCTCTCTTTGTCGACATTTGAATAAAGTAACATGAATGGGAGGATTCCTACGTGAATGAAAATCTCAAGATCAACCAAGTTTCAATGGAGTTATTACTACTGGACCTGGTTGTCAGTGGGTTCAAAAGATAGTAATTAAGACGATATATATTTTATTAAATTATAAAATGAGGTAATATTTTAAAAAATACATTGTTAATCTTCTCGTTAAAAAAATAAATAAAACATATGCGTTATTCAAGCAATTGTTTAAATCTTTTCTATAATTATACTTATTTTCGTGGCTTTTTATCTTCAATTTTAGTTCTTGGTTCATGTATTTTTAAATTATTAGACCTATATTATTTAGTTGAATATTTTCAAAAATCCAATAGGATTCTTTTTACTTAAAAACGTAGTGATTTAATTTAAGTGAAAATTTTTATTTGTCTGTATTTCTTTCGATTTGGGAGCTAAATAGATGGCTGAGAGTAGCAATGCTACGACCTTTCATTTATATTTTTATCCTTTTTTATTATAATTTTAACATGACATTTTACTTATTAAATTTATTGAAATGTAGTTATAGATACAAATAAAACGTTTCCATTTTATATAAAATTTGTGTTAAAATTTTACAAATAAAAACCAAATTGGTCGTTATTTAAAAGTATAAGGATCCAAGCAGACATCTTGAGAGTGTAATTATTTAAATAAACAAAGGTTTACAGTAATGAACTAAAATAAATATATTGAAAGTACATGAATTAAAATGAACCAAACTAAAAATACAAATACAGTGATAAGAATCAATAGTATTTAAACCTACTTATTATGATATAGAGTTTCAAAGTCATCTATTGACTTGAATAGTTGCTTCGTTTTTCAAAAGAAATATTGACTTAAATAGTTTCGAATGGACGAGGTAAAATGAAAGCATCTTACCATATAAAAATTGACATTTTTGTCAAACGATTAAGAAGTTAGACACAAATGGACTCAAACATTAATTATAAGCACAACAAATAAAACAAATAGTGTGCTTAATTTCATCACATGATAAACTATTCACAATTATCAATAATGCAGCTCAATTATCATATTCCACCCACCCTATAAATCGTAGGAAACTTTTTAGCCTTTTTCAGCTTTTATATCACTTGTTCTTTTTAGAGGTCTTTTTCCATGTTATAGTGTAGTGTAAATGTTAATCAAAGTTGATGCACACAAAAATACTTTTTGGCCCAATGTAATGAGAAATTTTATGGTTTTAAATAAGAGCTCCTTCGGTAACATTTTCGTTTCATGTTTCTCGTTTCTAATTTTATTAAGAAATTTAAGCATTTGACGATCATTTATATTTTCACGTTTTTCAAATTTTATAAACAATTTTACGAAAATAAATTTATTTTTTCTTGTTTTCGTTTCCAATTTGTTTCAACATAAATAAAAAAACTTATTTTGTCATTTTTACATCTATGGATGTTGGGTGTTCTGCAATGAAACAAGAAACGGAATTGTTACCAAACGGGTTCTTAAAAATTTTTTTATTAATAGTTTGAACTAATTCTGTGACTGATTTGAATTTAACCTGAATTTACATAGAATAAAAATCGCATTAATTTTAAACTTTTAAATTAAAATGATGAAGAGAACACTACAATTGTTTGAAATAAAACATGTTTTATTTGCATTTGATTGGTCCTGAGTGGATAATGACGATGACACGGACCGTGATCCACAAGTTAGCAAGATTGCCTTATCAACTCTTCATTTCTTTTCCATCCAAAAATATATATTTTAGTGGAGAACAAAAATGAAAGTTTTGTGTTTTATATGTTTTAATAATCAAGTAGAAATCTCTGTCAAATAATAATAATAATAAATAAATAAATAAAATAAATAAATTATAAATCTGATTTCGTTGGCGAAGTTTTAAATTTATTTTATTTTGATTCACCAGCTTTTAAATAACTATATTAATCATTTAAGCATTAGAAGTAACTATATATAGTTATTACTATTATTTTTTCTCCTTTTTTTTCCCGATAACACTAACCACTGTTATTTTTGTTTCTAACAAATAGATAACATGGTTCATTAATATGAGTATTGTATTAATGTATGTCCATTAAAAAAATTTATTAGGTGATAAAATAATAGCAATGATCACATATAAAGATGTAATTTTTAAAGTTCATAAACTAAATTAGACAACTTGAAAATCTATAAATAAAATTGAAGATATTTGAAATTTTAGAGAGAAAAATAAAATTTTTTAAAGATTTGTTAAATATAATAACCTTAAAAGATTAAAAAAATTTTATCTAATTTATTCTCTTGAAATTTTAAAATAAAAAATTAGATATAAAAAGTTTTGTACGAAAAATTTCAATGATGCATAAATGTGTCTGTTGAATTGTCTTCTTCCTAGGTGAGATGTGACTTTGAGAATATCTCCAGAGTTAATGAGATGAAAGGTTTGTCTGAGGATATAATGTCAATATGTGTAAAAATAATATGAACCAAAAATAGAGATTCGATGTGTCACTACAATCTCGATTGTTGTTTGTTTGTAAACTCAATTGGGTTGAGTTGTAATTAAGAGTACCAAAATTTCAAACGGATTGTTTTTGTTTATCAAACATCTCTATCTCAGGTACAATGATTTTAGGTCTTCAAAACATCTATTTGGGATGTTGATTGAGCTATATATATATTATGTATTCCGTTAGTTACTTATTTCATTGGTTTTTTTTTAACAGTACAATATGTGTGGGTGGGGATCGAACTCACAACTTCCGTTTTGACAGTTACTTGTCTCATTGTTAAACGTCTTTTAAGAAATATGTAGTTGTATATAGTCCAATAAATTACATTACTCTAACTGAGTTATAAGAATTATCCAAATAATTTGTTCAATTTTATCAATGTAATCTAATTATTTGGAGTTGTAAAAATTTATGTTGATTTCTTAGTTCGAATCCTACCAAAAATTATTCAAATTTGGTTGGTTCTAATTATTCAAATAATTTTCTCATATTTATGTATACAGTATAATTATTTGAGCTGCAAATCTAAAAATTAACTAATTCAACTCCAACTCTAAAATATACCTCACAAATATTTCAAACAAGAAAATATTGCAACGTGACCTTTATTTTTATTTTTATATTACACATCAGGATGAGCTACGTCTGTTGGTAAGTTTGACCTTTATTTTAAAACAAATATACATACACATGGGAAATTTTAGATTATGCATAGAGTATAAAATATATTCATTTATCAAGGTTGTTTCATCAACAAGTCGATATGTCCGAGTGGTTAAGGAGACAGACTTGAAATCTGTTGGGCTTCGTCCGCGCAGGTTCGAACCCTGCTGTCGACGCATTTTTTTCATTTGAATCCAAATTGAGATTGAGATACTTTTTGTTGAGCCCATCCACCCTCAAATGGCCCAACCCAACCCCTCCTTTACTTTGAGCACCACCCACTTGAATAGATTCTCAATTTTTGAAGAACGAGTCCAGTTGACAACAAACACTCCACCACCATCACCATAACTTATTTGCAGTAGCGAACCTGAAAAAACCAAACTTGAGTCCTTTTTTGGGCTATAAAATGTTGGGTTCCTTAATGAATCCGCAAGGCGCAATGTGTGGTTTGAAGTTTGAACATGTGAATCTGAATAACTTCCTTCGCTAACCTTCCCCTTTCCAACTCATCCCTCCACCATTACTTTGTCCTTTTCTTCACCATTATAACATCAACCCTTCTTCCTCATTTCCATTTCCATTTCACAGAAGAATGGCGGATTGGGGGCCGGTGTTCGTGGCCGTGGTGCTGTTCGTTCTCCTAACCCCGGGATTGCTGGTTCAGATGCCCGGCAAGAGCCGTTTCGTGGAATTCGGGAATTTCCAGACCAGCGGCGTCTCCATTCTGGTTCATTCCATTCTCTATTTTGCCCTCATCTGCATCTTCTTGTTGGCCGTCGGTGTTCATGTCTATATGGGCTCCTAATTCCTAACTCCTAATCCAACATCCATATTCCTGTTTTCTCTAACATTTTGTCTCTTAATCAAACATAATATGGTTTTAATCTATCTGTCTGCTACATTGCCCCATTCTGTTACTTTCTTCTAGGGATTTGATTTGGTATTCCTGTAATTGAATTAGAATGCGTTCAATCGAAAAACATTGGAAATTTCACTGCACTTCCAAGTTTCTATTGGTACTGTTTAACTGTGTGATACTGATGAGTTTATTGAATTCTTTTTCTTCCGCATTGTTAGGAATCTGATGCCTAATGTTAGTGACCATTTTTTTTTCCTTCAAAAACTTATAGATCACTATTCTCCTTCCTCACGTATTGGACTTTTCATCAACAATCTTATTCCCAAACCTTGAGATGATTTCGAATTTTCCTCACACTTACCAACTCTAACATTCAATTCAACAACCCTTTTAATACAAACCAGTTATACTAATTCATTTGCTTTTTTAACATGCGTGAGAGGAGAGCATTCAAATCTTACTAATATTTGACATTGCCAAACTCAAATTCACACGCTAATATGTTAAATTATTATTAGACAAATGCTTATCCATTAGGTAGACGGAATCCAATTTAGCGCAGAAAGATTATGGTCTAAAATCGTATTTAACAGAAAAGGTCATGACTCTATTCTTCTAAGAATGGACTAGGGGAAGGATCCGCTACCTAATTAATTTTTATGATTAAATAATGCCCAACGGAAAACTTGATATAACTTTAATATCTTAATTTTATTTTCAACAAACTAAACTAGGAGTCGGTATCTGTTTGAACTTCCAACCTCAAGTGTAGGAGTATCTATTATTTACCACTGAATTATACCCATGTTAACTTTAATAAGTTTAAATCACCGCTAAGTTTTTGGAGTATATATCATCCCTATGAGTTAGAACGAACGATGACTAGGAAAATACAACCCTTTTCCAATTTAGCTCTCGTTCAAAATTTCAGAGTATTAGCATTATTATGAACAAACTTTCTGGTGAGAAAAGTGAAAACTTTGATCTAAAAACCACAAAGACAACGAAGGATCTGAACATGAATTACCATGAGAGAGAGTTTTTCCATTAGATCATGAGTAAGAAACATGGAAGCTCTACAAATCATCAGTCAAAGATAACAGAGAGAGAGAGGTAGAAATTACATGGAGATCAGCACCAGCACTAAATGTAAATATGGACGTTAAGCATGACCAAAAACAGAATAAGGAGGAGAAGGAAGACAACGGCATGAACAAAAATGGAGGCAAAGCTGGTCTTCAAGTTCATGAACTCAAGGGGCCGTTCCGATCCCGGCATCTGAATGATCATCCCGGGCGAGAGAAACGCGAACAAAACCGAAGCGATCAGAGGAGCTGCCAAATCAGTCATCCTTTTATCCCAGAAAAGAAAAATGGCTGAAGAAGAAGACTACAAACGAAGAGTTTTAATGGTAAAAGGAAGGAAATGAGGGAATAAAAGTTGGGAATGAGAGGAATAAGAATTTGTGTAAAAGGGGCCGTTCTCCACCACCACGTTACCCCCTTTTATTCTATTTCTATGTCAATAACCCCACACATTGGCGGGTGCGTTGCATTATTATGCCTCCACTTCCATCAAATTAAATCCTCCATCATCTTCTATTTTACCAATTCTTTATTCTTAATATTTAATTAAGTGATTTTTTAGAATTTATCCAACACGGGTTTTGAAATATTTGAACTTGAGAAGACCATAAGTCTAGGACACAAATTTTAGTGCAATTATTGGTCAAAAAAATAGGGTTTTGGAAAAATGGAAAGTAGAAGCACATATATCCACCATCATTTCCGGATCTTCCTTTTTAACTTCCCGCTTATTCTGCGCCGACCGAGACCGACCCGCCATGCTGTGGCCCATCCCACTCTCTGGCCCACTTTATCGTCGAAATTTGGGCCACGTGGCCCATATTTGACTCACCTTACTGGCTCCATGGACGATTGCAAAACAAGATGTCTGCTTCCGCCGCACACAATACTAGCCCCTAGTAAATTAATAACGGGTGTAGTGTCACTCTCGTAATTACAAAACAAATTCTCGGATTCCCACATTTTCCGAATCCTGAAGTAAAGCGTTATTTTTCATGTCAATACGGAAACATTGAAAAAAATTGAAACACTGCTGAATTCCAATTCTCTTCTTCGTCTTCTTCGCGAGTTTCTTCTGATTTCTCCTCGAGGTTTAGTGAATAGCGGTATCTGTGAAACGATGTCGGATTGGGCGCCAGTGGTGATCGGCGTTGTACTGTTCGTGCTGCTCTCGCCGGGGCTTCTGTTCCAGTTCCCGGGGAATAATCGGCAGTTTGAGTTCGGCAGTATGAAGACCAACGGCAAGGCCATAGCCATTCACACTCTCATCTTCTTCATCCTCTACGCCGTCTTCATTCTCGCTCTCCATGTCCACATCTACACTGGCTGATCCGGTAACCTCTTCCCCTCGCCTCTGTTCCGTTTTTCATTCCAGATTGTTACGAAGTGAAGCTGCTGCAATCTTGGTGATATTTGTATCTTGTTTCTTGTGTTTCTTTTCGGAGCGGATCTTGTTTGATCTGTTTGTATTTACGATTTGTAGTCGGAGATTCGGAAGAGATGAAAGGCATTTTGTAAGTTAATTGGATTTTACTTACGCCTATGCCACAATTGCTAGTGTAGACCTAATTACATCGAACATTGGGCTCTGTACCTACTCTTTCTCATCGATGAATTTCTTTTTCTTGAGAAATTTTCCCTCTATTCTTTGATTTCATAAATTTTAACGCATCTCAGGGAGAAGATGTTCGTCTTAGTGCGGATAAGCTGCGGATATTTGCTGAGTAAATTTGTTCAAATTTGGTTCGTTCCGTAGAAAAAGGAACTACTACATGAATCTATTGGATATTGATTAGTTAGAAATAGAGAAGAATTTTGCTCAAATTACTCGGTGACCAGCGTGAAACTATTTATAGAACTTTATCTTTCTTATTAACCCCCCAAAAAGAATGGAAATTATAGGTTACATTTAGACAGATTACAAAATATAGAAAGTTATTGTTCAAACGGAAGAAACAGGAAATGGAGCAGAAGTATGCTAAGTTCCTAGAAGGGAAGGAAAAAAAAGGGAAGCAATTCCTTTGGCGAAGGTAGCCAAAGCAGATGATGAAGTCAAAAGTGTATGTGAATACCAATTGCGATGACCAAAATGGTGAGTATGCAGAAGAAAATGATGGCGTGCACCAGAATGGCAATCCCACTGGTGTTCATGTTCCCAAACTCCACCACCCTGATTCTCGCCGGCAACTGAAAAAGCAGCCCCGGCGACAGGAGGATGAACAGCGCCACCGCGATGACAACCGGTCCCCAGTCAGCACTCATCTCTATCCACAAAAGAGGAGTTGTTTTGAACCAGTTGGGTTTCTTTTCAAGTTTCAGAGTGGAAGAGAGAATTGAAGGATGCAATCACCTGAAGAAAAGGAAGTCTTATAAGGGTGAATGAGTGTGGTGAGCTGATTTGCTTAACGAAGAAGGAGTTGGGGGGACGATGCCAAACTTGGGGAGAAAGAAGAAAATGGTTTATAAGAGAGGGAAAGGTATGTGTATGTGATGAGTTGATGGGAGTGGATTTGCTTTATGAAGATGGAAAGAAAAGGATTTCGATTTTCCCTTATTTCTAATAGTTGTGGAATGGAGGGCTGTCTCTTTTTTCTTGCTTTAGAGATGAGTGAAGAAGGTGGAGGCTTTTGTTTAAAGAAAGAAAAATGGATGTGTGTGCTAAGTGTAAAGGTGGGTTCATAAGGCTTAGAGTATTTGGGAATGCTTTGTTGTTTATGATTGTCTCTTTACAGCAAAATCTTAGAAGGATTGCCATAAAAGATGATTAAAGTTTGTGGAATTGAGTATATATCATCGTGCAATTATGAATATGATCTCATCCGGCAGATTGGACTTTGCACACTTTGTTTGGGTAATGAAGAGAATATTTTGTGGTTGCATAACAAAAATGTTGTCAAGGTGGTCAGGCGCCGAATGATACATTGCATAAAATATTAAAGTTTTGATGGGTAGAAGAGAAAAATATAGAAAGAGAGATCTTTCTATTTCTACTTAAAAAAAATGAAAAACTATCAAATTTATAATGAAAATATATCAACCTGAGTTTAACTCAACTTGTTTCCAATAAAAAAAGGTGTTTTTTTTTGAATTCTCACCCATCACATTTATAGAGACAAATTGGTCTATTCTTGCCTTTGGCTTTGTAGGCAACCGGGGCCAGTCATCTCTTCTGACCACTAGTGTGAATAGGAATCAATAAAAGAAAATACTTTGTTTCTTCAAACATTTAATAGTCGGTGAAAATAAGATTTGGTCTATTTTTCATGGATAAAAAATAACAAGCACAAGAACACAAATCACTTTATTGGAAACGTCTCTCGAGGATGAAAGGTAGAAAGTAAAAATCAAATGGCCAGTAGTATATAGGGAAGGGTACAGAAAAATATTTGAGAAACGTGATTTAAAGGTTTCCTTTCCATTATTGCGACTGTGTAGTCCATCTTTTGATGAACATATTGTTAAATTTTCAGTTCAACTGGAAAGGCCCATGCATTTTCATAGCCATATGGATCTGAATGTGCCGCCGGCGCCGGCCAGAAAGAGACGAGGCCATCACTCTCAACTCTCAACACAGCTTGTGAATATCGAATCAAAGCAGCATTGTAATTCCCATTATACACACACACACACACACACAAACCTCTGCAATCCATATTCCGATCAGATTGGTTGAAAATGGCGGATTGGGGGCCGGTGCTCATCGCGGTAGTACTGTTCGTGGTTCTGAGCCCGGGAGTGCTGTTTCAACTCCCCGGAAAGGGCCGAGTGGTCGAGTTCGTGAACCTGAAGACGAGCGCCATCTCCGTCTTCGTCCACACTCTCATCTTCTTCGGCCTCATCACTATTTTTCTCATTGCTATCGGTGTTCACATCACCACTGGTTGACAAGAGTAGAAACCTTAATGACTGAGCTAAGCTCATCTTCATTTGGTTGGTTGATTTTGGTTTCAATTTGAATTTTTAGTATAGTTTTGAATTTTATAATTTGCTCCTATGATCTATATATGGTTGGATTTGACTTCACACTTCATACTTTTTAATTTATAAAGATAAAGATTGAAACAACCGTGTAGCTTCAAACTATATATAAATCAAAATTATACTTCACCTTATAATTATAATTAAAATTTTACATTATGTCAATTATAAACTAAATTGACAATGAAGTTAACTTGTCAATCAACCCAAAGCTCAACATGGAAGTACTATTTGAACTTGGGTTAGGCCTTCAACATTTATACATAAATATCAGAGAGAATATTTATTCAACATGATTCCACATTGTTCATCAGTCAATTATTCAAAACAATTCCACAGGAGCACCCGAATCTAAATAAAGTGCCAATAATTGTGTCTACTTTCAGATATTTTAACTCCAAAACATTCAATATGTAGATTAAATAATCCGCGCAACTATATACTACATTTCCATCAATCATTTGAGCATAGTTATGAACCTATTGGAAAATGACAGTAGAAAATTTGATTAGTATTTACATTTTACAAGCATTTGCAACCAAAGAAAGACAGTAGTTAGTTTAGTTTATTGATCCTCTACACCATATTTTAGGTGGCTAATCTACTTCTTCAATTGGTTAATCCCTCAAGTCTAAAGCGTTCTTGCACAGAAGATATGTAGTTGGCCGCCTTCCGATCGATGTGTTCGTCAACGGCGATCCCGTAAGAGTTCAAAAAGCTAGCCTCGTGAACATTCATGGCGTCGTGAACGACTCTGTGGTTCGACTGAGCCATTGGCTTCTCCTGGTGATGAACCATAAACGAAACGTGGCACGAACAAGACGAGGAGTTCGATGGCGCTGGCTTTGCCTTTCTGCTACCTCTGCTGCAAGCCATGGCTTCCCCATGGAGAGGACCCAGCATGCCCTTCACAAGGCCTCTTGCTCTACACCTTGAATCCATTTTTTTAACTTCTCAATGTTTTTTTTCCAACTGGGGGAGTGGTCTATTTATACTTAAAAGGGGTAATAAAGGGGCTTTGAAGGGTTTTTTTTGGGAGATATTTGTGATCTTTATCTTATTCATAAACAAAGAGGAGATGGATATGAAGGAATTTTACTGTATTCTGGTGGTGTCCCACCAAGGAAAAAAGCAAATATCTGGGAGCATAATATTCAGATTAATATTATGAAAAAGTTATATTGGTGAGATATGGGATTCAGACCTTGGTCTTAATTAATACTTAGAGAGCCAATATAGTGGTAATGGCATTTTTTTTTTGATGAATTTTATATAGACTAATGCGTTATTGTTGTGGCCAAATAAAAGATAGAATTCAATTCTCTTTTGGACGAAGATTGAAGATCTTCTACTTGTTAGCTTTCTTCACTTTCCCTTTCCTTAATAGAGCAAAATAGTTGTTGCTTTATGCTTTTTTATAGGTCTTTTTCAACTTCCAAGTGGGATTCACATACACCCTAATAAAAATTAGAAAGGTAGTTAATTAATCCAAAGCTAATTAAGTTTTTGTTTTCTTTCCTTTCCCTTTCTTTCTATCTAGCAAATGGGTTTGTTTCGATACATGAGAAATGAAAGAATTTGTAATAATCTGATTTTCGAAACGAGGTTTATAGTTTAGATATGTAAATAAATTATTTCTTGACATCTTAAAAATCCATCAACAAGGATTCAACCAAACAACTTTTAGATAGTTTAGATATGTAAATAAATTATTTCTTGACATCTTAAAAATCCATCAACAAGGATTCAACCAAACAACCTTTAGAGATGAGGTTTCCATTGTTTACAAAAATTTCTAGCTCCTACCCATTTTCTAACGATCCAAGGTCATAGGACATCTCCTTGAAGATTTTTTGTCATTTTTTTTAACAATAGTTTGGTATTACATGTGATTTTGGTTAGATATGGTTTATTAGGTTGATTAGAACACATCAACATGGCTGAAAGTAGCAATTTGAAGAAAGTCTGCACAATCTGAATATACTTGCCAAAAAAAAAATGGTGCTAAGCTTAGTGTGATGTTTGTCAAACACCTTTAATTATGATGCTTAATCTTGTTTAAGTGTTGAATTTGATAGAATAATTTTGATACAATACTAATTGTACTCTTCATCCATTCTCTTCTCTTTTCTAGTATCGGTCTTCTCTTTTCTAGTATCGGTGTAAGAAGCCTTATAAGTGAATGCACGGATCACAACTACTCATGTGATTTGTTCGGATGTTATGTGCGCAAGTCATTAGAGATGTAATAACTTCAGCTGCAGTGCCACGTCATTTAACCATATCATAACCTTCTTGATTGTCATGTATCCTTTTTAGTACGATATATGAGAATCGAGATTCGAACCCACGATATTAATTTTTAATTATTATTAAATGTTGAGTCCCTTCTATTCAGAAATATTGGATAAGGCAAGGCTAGATTTGGTTGATGAATCTAACACATGAAATCAAAATAAATTGGAATATGTATTAGTGGGACAATAAATTCGAATATATGTACTAGTCGTGGAACAGAGTATTTGTAGATGTAATAATTTAATATGTAAATATTCTAAATGTATTCTGAAAATAAAATAATATAAAAATAGTTTGATGGAAAATCAATAATTAATTAATTTACTATATTTTCATTAGTTAAAAAGATAATTCTTTTATGGTTAAAAAAGTAATTCATTCAGATCTGACCTAAAGATTTTGTTTTTGTTTTTTTAATTTTTAAAAAGCATACCTACTTTCTCTCAATTTTTTAAATATATATTTTCCACCATTTTTACAAACACATTTTAATCGTCTATAAATACTTCAATCTATGTATTTATTAGTTTTGTTATTTACTTTTTAAAAATATTTTTAAAATCTAGGTCAAATTTTAAAAACTAAAAAATATATATTTTTAATTTATTTTGAAATTGGGTAAAAAATTCAAATATATTTTAGAAAATATGAATTAACATACCAAAAAAATCAAGCTAGTTAGTCGAGATTTTAAGATAAAAAAACAACCGAAACATGTAATAAATTCAAAATTGTTCTTTGAAGTCAGGTATAAACTTTCAACATTTTCGATCTTTGTACACATAATTTACATTTTTTTCTAATTTTTTATTGAAATAATTTGATCCGATATTTAGAACCAAATCGGAATCTTATCCGACAACTTTCCACTGTATATATATATGTATTTTTTAATTTCCATTCTGTGTATACATATTTTGCGGTATTTCCATTCTATATATTAATACAAAGATATTTTATAAATTACATTAATAACATTGTGAAACTTAGTTAGTTAGTTATAGATGCCACGTACAATAAATCGTACAGGTGGCACACACATACAATGAAAAAGATAACGAAATAATATTCCTTCCAAAATGTTAATTTCCCTAAATTAGTAAATTAAAAATAATTTAAATCTTATTTTAATAATAATTTTTCATACTTATCTCTTTTTTCCCCTTATTTGAAGCAATACTTATCCTTTTATTATTTATAAACTTTTCCAATCTTTTATTCTAAAAAATTGTCTAATTTAGTGTACTCTTTTCCACACCAGTATGTGAAAAGAAGAAGAAGAAGAAGAAGAAGATTAAACTATGCAATTGAAGTGAAAGAAAAAACCCTAAATTATAATAGCAGACAAAAAAGAGAACATCTAAAGTTCAATTATACCAGAACTTCAAATTCGAAAGGGAAAAGAAAAAAGTGGTAGTGGTAATGAAATGACCTCCAGAATCTCGTACATTCAGCAGCAGCACGGAAATTCCCAAACTGCACAGAAATTATCGGGGAAATGTAAATAACCTCAACGCAGAATAACACAATTACAGATCCCAAAATTGACGAAGAAACAGAGAAATTCACCGGCGGAAACATGTTTAGGGTAGGGGCAGAGCAGCGAGCGAGCAAAATTGGACAGAATGGAAACCACGTTGAAGAAGTAGAAGAGAAGGAGCACGGTAATGAGGAGAGGAACCAACAGGAATCCAATCATGAGGGCGATGGTTCCGAAGAGAATCAAAGCCATGGAAATCGCGATGAAAAGCGAGGCGAAGACCGCCGGAGAGGCACTGGAGGTGAGGGCGAGGAGGCTGTGCTTGGACGGGAAAGATCCGGCGGTGAGGGAGGAGGCGAGGATGGGGATCGGGAAGGGAGGGATTCTGAGGACGTCGACGATCATGGAGGAGAGCTGGTAAGAAGCCCTAGAATCGTCTCGTCGACGACGATGATGATAATGATGGCTCATGGTGAAACTACGCAGAGGATGAGTAAGCCCGTCCGGTCCAAACACAACTCTATTTATTTGGGGTTTTTCCAATACCGAAACAACCACATAACAGCCCGTTTGTTACAATAATTTTCGATTTCTCGTTTCTAATCCTATCATGAAATGATAATATTTATGTTCGCTGATTCTCGAAAATTTTTAGAAATTTTAATAAGTTTTTTAAATAAAATTAAGAAACAAAACAATAAAACATAACATTACCGGTTTTAAGAGCTCCATTATTAACCTTCTCGTATCCAATTTTAT